CGGCCGCAGCAGCAGAAGCAACAGAGGGCAAGAGGGGGGAGGGAGAACACCCCTCAAAGACAGGGGTGCGGGGGTCACCACGAGAGGCTCCTACAGCGACTATGCTCTTCTCCGTCGCTAGGAGGGCCTTCTCGAGGAGGTCAACGGTGAGAGTGGTGGGGCACACTGCGAGGAAGTGGTCCCTGACTACGCGAAGGGAGTCAGGGAGTCGGGTGACTATGTAGTAGAGGGTGATATACATGGGGGGGTGGGTTCTTGGCGCAAAAGTCAGCAGGAAGCGCAGCGCGGTAGCGAGTGTCACTAGTGCGGAGGTGCGTAATGAGGTCAGCGATTGTGGGAAAGGCAGCAAGGTCAGGGAAGAGGTACGGTAGCATGAGACGGCTCAGTGCAGCAGTGGCAGGGGAGGAGTAGCGTGCAACTACAGCGTCGTACAAGGTCTGAGCACTCTTGTACTAACTAAAGTGCGCACCCTCGGAGGTAGGGAGGTGGCGACGCACAGCAAGACGTGCAGCAGCGTCGCGCGTGGCCCACTGGGAGCGAACAGTGGCGTCAGCATCAGCAGTAGGGGCAGGAGAGGCGCCAGAGGTGAGGTCAAAGAGAGAGAGAGACCGTTTGCCCTATCGCACTGTAAGAACAGCTGCAGGTCATCTACCTAGACGTCAAAGTCTTCAAGGACTCTAGGGGTAGCCATGACCACAGTAGACTAGCAGCGCAAACAGTAGGGTGAGGGCAGTGCAGTGAAAGAGGCGCTGTGCTTACCGGACAGGGCAGCTCAGGCGGCTCGGCGGTAGGGCGGCTCCGCGGCTCGGCTTTTGGGCGGCTGGGCGGCTCGGCTGCAGTGCGGCTCGGTGGCCCGACGGCTCGGCTGTACAGCGGCTCGGCTGCTGGGTGGATCAGCTGCAGGGCGGCTCGGCTGCTCGGCTGCTGGGCGGCTCGGCGGCTCAGCTGTCCGGCTGCTCGGTTGCCCGGGCGGCTCGGCGGTGCTGCTGCAGGGCGGCGCGGCGGTCGGCTGCTCGGCTGGGTGAGGCGGGTTGGGCAGCTCGGGTGGCGGGCGGCGCTGCAGCAGGCGACGGGGCCGCAGGTGAGGACGGCGGGGCCGGAAGTGAAAGCGGCGGGGCCGCAGGAGAGAGCGGCGGGGCCGCCTGTGAGAGCGGCGGGGCCGCAGGTGAGACCGGCGGGGCCGCCTATGAGAGCGGCGGGGCCGCAGGTGAGAGCGGCGGGGCCGCAGGTGAGAGCGGCGGGGCCGCCTGTGAGAGCGGCGGGGCCGCAGGTGAGAGCGGCGGGGCCGCAGGTTAGAGCGGCGGGGCCACAGGTGAGGGCGGTGGGGTCGCAGGTGAGAGCGGCGGGGCTGCAGGGAAGGGCGACGGGGCCGCAGATGAGGACGGCGGGGTCGCAATTGAGGGCGGCGGGGCCGCAGGTAAGGGCGGCGGGGCCGCAGTTGAGGGCGGCGGGGCCGCAGATAAGGCCGGCGGGGCCGCAGGTAAGGGCGACGGGCCGCATGTGAGGGCGGCGGGCCGCAGGTGAGGGCAGCGGGGCCGTTTAAAAGGACGGCGGGGCCGTGAGAAGGGCGGCGGCGGGCTGCTGCAAGGGCGGCGACGGGGCCGCTGGTGAAAGGGCGGCGGATCGGGGCCGCAAGGGCGGCTGATCGGGGCCGCGAGAGGCCGCTAGGGCGGCGCGACGCGGCCGTTAGGGCGGCGCGACGCGACCGTAAGGGCGGCGCGACGGGCCGCTAAGGGCGACACGACGAGCCGCTAAGGGTGACGCGACGGGGCCGCTAAGAAGGGCGCAACCCTAGGCGCGCTTCGGGCAGGGGCAGGACGCGCCCGGGCAGGAAAAAAAAAAATTGGTGGGCCCTAGGAACAGTTCCCACGAGGAAACCTGCTCGATACCATGAGGAAATGTGAACGAGAATGAATGAACTATGAATGAAGTGGGTACAAGTACTAACCCTAATTGGGTTGTTCCCCCTATGGGATACCCCACTACAGCCTATACAAAAGCATAAGCTATAATGTTCTGACAACTGGAAATCTGAAACAACAAAACCACAAAACGGCGAAATTGCGCGACGCGCCGGCGCGCGAACTTCTCCCAATCTGACAAAATTAGAAGGAAGAAAGAGGGGTGAACTAGCAGAAATGGGGATACAAATAGCAAACCCTAGAAGGGTTGTACTCGCTATAGAGCACCCCACTACAGGCTAGAACATAAGAATAATATTCAGACACAATCCCATCAACCAACCTCGCACTGCAGGTAGGGCGACCGAACCTCGTCCAAGTGGATCGACCTACATGCGCTTCCACGTTATTTTCATGCTGCGAACGAGTTCATGTCGACGTTACAGGTGCCATTTGGTTTTACGGCCAGAATCGCGGGATTGCAGCTTGGGGTTTCGATCCTTTCAGAACAGACAAATTTTGCGATGTGTTACGTCACTTCAGTCTGGTCGCGCAGACAAGGCTTGTCTTATGCTGTTTTTGTTTGGTCTGGTTTTTTTTACGATGTAAAACGAACTAAATTCCGTAGGGAGCCAAGCACACTTTCAATGCATCAGCCCTAAACACCTTGAAATTTCCCGTGTTTAGGGTTGATACCTCCCGAATTCCACCACATTTAAAGCATTAACCCTAAACACCATGCTTCCCGTGTTTAGGGTTGATGCCTCCCAAATTGCGTTCCTGCCTCTAGGGGTTTTTTTTTTTTTTTTTCAGCCCCTGCTTAGATTCTGAGCTCCGTAGATGTTTCAGAAAATCGCATTTGACACGCGCAAAAAAAAAAAAAAAAAAAAAAAATGTAGACACGCACACCAAACATTTTTGCGCCTTCGTAAAAAGACAAAACACTCGAATCTTGTAAGGTCACGGCAATGTAGCCACAACTGCGACCTTGTTTTTTTACGAAAACACGAACACCACCTGGCAAACATTTTCCCGCGCGAGATAGTGACAATTAGGAAGACCACCAATTCTTTCACATTAACTTGGTTGTCAATATCACGTAAGCGCATGTAGGTCGATTCATTTGCGAGTGGTTCGGTCGCCCTACCTGCGGTGCGAGGCTGGTCGATGGGATTGAGAGAAGTTCGCTCACCGGCGCGTCGCGCAATTTTGCCCCACAAAACGGAACAAGAACAACAATAGCCAAATCAATGTGCATAACCAGATTCGAACCTCCGACCTCCGCGATGAAACGCGACTAAGAAGTCGCTTTACTAAACGCTGTATTAGCTTTGGGACGCTAAATTTACTAGTCGAAAAATCCGATCAAAAACTTCCCATCCTAGGGTTTCGTCAAATTCCTTTTTGCTTCGTTTCTCTTCCAACTACTCACGCCACTCTAGCTTCTCCCGTCCCTCACGCCACTCACGCTACTCACGCCCCAGACTATGGCTCATATAAAGGTAAGCCATATTCTCTCTATTTCTTAAGCTCATTCTAGTTGAGAGTGGGTCCTAATTTAACTCATTATGGTTGAGAGTTTGTTTTTTTAACGAGATCTAGACGTATATGTTAACCAGAAGATGATGTATCATCCTACCTTATTGTTGTATCCTCTCTTTCATTCCGTTTTGTTTACCTCAATTTCGTCGCTTATTCTAGTTTCTTATTGTTTCTTACCGTTCCTTTTATCTGTCAGAACATTATAGCTTATGTTGTTGTGTAGGCTGTAGTGGGTTATCCCATAGGGGGTACAACCCAATTAGGGTTAGTACTTGTACCCACTTCATTCGTAGTTCATTCATTCTCGTTTCAGTTTTCTCATGGTATCGAGCAGGTTCCCTCGTGGGAACTGTTCCTAGGGCCCACCAAGTCGATTTTTTTTTTTACTGCCCGGAGCGCGCTCAGCCCTAGCCCGAGTCGCGCTCCCCTTTCTCGACCCAGTCGCGCCGCCCTAGCGGCCTCGTCGCCTACCCCACGGCCCGCGCGCCGCCCTTTCCCGGTCCTGATCCGCCGCCTTGCGGCCTCGTCGCCCACCCTGCGACCCGCGCGCCGCTCTCCCTGGCCCCGACCGCGCCGCCCTACGGCCTCGTCGCCTACCCCGTGGCCCGTGCGCCGCTCTTTCCCGGCCCCGATCCGCCGCCCTGCGGCCTCGGCGCCTACCCTGCGGCCCTCGCGCCGCCCTACGGCCCTGACGCCGCCCTTACCTGCGGCCCCGCCACCTGCCTGCGGTCCCGCCGCCCTTACCTTCGCCCCCGCCCTTACCTGCGGTCCCGCCCTTACCTGCGGCCCCGCCACCTACCTGCGGTCCCGCCGCCCTTACCTGCGGCCCCGCCCTTACCTGCGGCACCGCCACCTACCTGCGGCACCGCCGCCCTTACCTGCGGCCCCACCACCCTTACCTGCGGCCCCGCCGCCCTCACCTGCGGCCCCGCCGCCCTTACCTGCGGCCCCGCCCTTACCTGCAGCCCCGCCCTTACCTGCAGTCCCGCCACCTACCTGCGGTCCAGCCACCTACCTGCGGCACCGCCGCCCTTACCTGCGGCCCCGCCGCCCTTACCTGCGGCCTCACCGCCCTCACCTGCGGCCCCGCCGCCCTTACCTGCGGCCCCGCCGCCATCACCTGCGGCCCCGCCGCCCTTACCTACGGCCCCGCCGCCACCGCAGCGGCACAGGCGCCGTCGCCTGCTGCAGCGCCGCCCGCCACCCGAGCCGCCCGAGACGTCTCACCCTGTCGAGCAGCCGACCGTCGCGCCGCCCTGCAGCCGCACCGCCGAGCCGTCCAGCAGCCGAGCAGCCGAGCCGCCGTGTAGCCGAGCCGCCCAGCCGCCGAGCAGCCGAGCCGCTGAGCCGCCGAGCCGCCCTGCAGCCGAGCCGCCCAGCCGCTCAGCAGCCGAGCCGCCGTGCAGCCGAGCCGCCGAGCCGCCCAGCAGCAGAGCCGCCCTACAGCCGAGCCGCGCGCACCGCCGAGCCGCCTGAGCAGCCCTGTCCGGTAAGCGCAGCGTCTCTGTCACTACACTGCCCTTACCCTACTGTTTGCACTACTAGTCTACTGTTGTCATGGCTACCCCTAGTGTCCTCGCTTTTGACGCTGAGGATCGGGCCATTGACTTTGATGTCTGGATAGATGACCTGCAGCTTTTCTTACAGTGCGATAGGGCAGACGGTCTCTCCCTCTTTGACCTCACCTCTGGTGCCTCTCCTGCCCCTACTGCTGATGCTGACGCCACTGTTCGCTCCCAGTGGGCCACGCGCGATGCTGCTGCACGTTTTGCTGTGCGTCGCCACCTCCCTACCTCTGAGCGTGCGCACTTTAGTCAGTACAAGAGTGCTAAGACCTTGTACGACGCTGTAGTTGCACGCTACTCCTCCCCTGCCACTGCTGCACTGAGTCGTCTCATGCTAACGTACCTCTTCCCTGACCTTGCTGCCTTTCCCACAGTCGCTGACCTCATTACGCACCTCCGCACTAGTGACACTCGCTATAGCGCTGCGCTTCCTGCTGATTTCTGCGCCAAGAACCCCCCCCCCCCCCCCCCCCATGTATATCACCCTCTACTACATAGTCACCCGGCTCCCTGACTCCCTTCGCGTAGTCAGAGACCACTTCCTCGCAGTGTGCCCCACCACTCTCACCGTTGACCTCCTCGAGAAGGCCCTCCTTGCAGCGGAGAAGAGCATAGTCGCTGTAGGGGCCTCTCATGGTGACCCCCGCACCCCTGTCTTTGAGGGGTGTTCTCCCTCCCCCCTCTTGCCCTCTGTTGCTTCTACTGTTGTGGCCGGCCTCGTTGGTTTTGAGTCTATCGGCGCTCCGTCTGCCCCTTCGGGGAAGCGCCGCGAAGGCAAGGGCAAAAGGGGCAAGGGCGCTGGAGGAGCGGGCGGGGGCGGCGGAGGCGGTGGTGGAGGTGGCGGAGGGAGTGGGGTGGTAGTGGGAGTGTTGGGGGGGTGGGGGTGCTGGTGGCAGCAGTGGAGGCGGAGGTGGCGGCGGTGGTGGCGGAGGGAGCGGAGGCGGCGGTGGTGGCGGAGGCGGCGGCGGTGGCGGAGGCGGCGGAGGTGGCGGTGGAGCAGGTCGTGGTTCTGCGCAGAGGAGTGGCTCAGGTGGTGGTCCGCGCCAGGAGCAGCAGCGCGGTCGTGAGACCCTGTCCCCTCAGCAGCTCCGTGAGAGGTACACTGCACGCCAGCGGGGTGGGGGTTCTGGTCCGTGCACCTACGTCCTGCGCACCGGCGACCGTGCGGGTGAGCAGTGTGGGGGTGCCCACCCCACCCAGCGCTGCTTTGGCCGCCTGACGGACGCGTGGCTTCACCAGTTTCCTGAGGCCGCAGAGATCCCTCGCTGGGGCGAGTTGTCTAGGGCGGGGGTTGCTATCTTTGACCTTGACTTTGATGCTAGTCTTTCTGCCATGTATGCTGTGACTATTAGTGATGAGGGTGACTGTTACCGGTGTTTCCCGCCGGACCCGGGCATTGAGACTGCTGCTCTAGGTACTGGTGAGGCTGCTGCCCTAGGTGCTTGCGAGGCTGCTGCTCTAGGTGCTAGTGCGTCTGCGTCCTTAGGTACTGGTGAGTCTGCACTCTTAGGTACTGCGTCGGCTTCGGCCTCCCTCACCTTCACCCTTGAATCTGGGGCTTCTCGCTCCTTCTTCTGAGACCGCACCACACTCACGCCGCTTGGCCAGCCGGTTGCGGTGTCTCTGGCTGACCCCTCTTGGGGTCCTGTCCTAGCCCACTTCTCTGCAGTCCTCCCGTGTCCGGCGGCTCCCTCTGGTACCCTGTCTGGTCTCTACCTCCCCTCGTTCTCTACAAACCTGGTGAGTGGTGCTGACCTACAGGATGGGGGCGTGCATAAGTTCACTCCTGCGAGTCAGCGGGTGACACACTGCACTGAGGCTCGGACAGGCCGACACTTGGCTACGTTTACACGTCAGCCGGGGTCGAGCCTGTACACACTGTCCACTTCGTCTCCTCCAGTCACTGAGTCTGGTCGAGTAGCTTCGTCGGGTCAGGTGTTTGCTGCAGCGTCCAGGTCTCTGCGTGCCCCTTTGCCTTCTCCTCCTGAGTCCTCTCTTCCTGCTCTTGCCGACCCGGAGTCGGACTCTCTTCGTGCTGCCAGTCCTACTGTCACGCGTCTCCTTGCTACTGTCGTCACTGACCCTTCCTTTGAGTCCACTGCTGCGTCTGCCCTAGTTGCTGAGCTCGTCGACTTTGCTGCTCGCTGTCGCCTAGACTACGCTGCTAGTCTTGTCGCTGAGTCTGAGTCTGTCTGTCCTCCGTCCGTCGGGGGTGAGTGTGCCCTTGGCACGGACGTCCTTGAGGACGGGCAGGAGGAGTTCCAGTGTCTGGCAGCTACTTCACCTCATCTCGTGTCCGTACTGCTTACCCCTGATGGAGACCCGGATGCACTTGACATCCCGACTCTGCGCTCTTACGCGGAGGCGATAGAGGGTCCCTACTCTTCTCAGTGGCAGGCAGCTATGGACACAGAGATGGCTTCCTGGAAGTCCACAAGCACCTACGTTGACGAGGTTCCCCCGCCTGGGGCGAACATCGTCAGTGGCATGTGGAACTTCAGGGTGAAGCGGCCGCCGGGTTCTCCGCCTGTCTTCAAGGCACGGTACGTGGCTCGTGGGTTCAGTCAGCGGCAGGGAGTTGACTACTTTCAGACCTTCTCTCCCACCCCAAAGATGACCACTCTTCGGGTACTGCTGCACGTTGCTGCTCACCGTGACTACGAGCTGCACTCTCTTGACTTCAGCACAGCTTTCTTGCAGGGCAGCTTGCACGAGGAGATCTGGCTGAGCCGCCCACCTGGCTTCACTAGGTCGTTCCCTCCTGGTACCCAGCGGAGTCTCCGGCGTCCAGTCTACGGTCTCCGCCAGGCGCCCCGTGAGTGACACGACACACTGAGGACTACGCTTGCGGCTCTTGGGTTTGCTCCTTCTACTGTCGACCCGTCGCTGTTTCTGCGCACCGACACCTCTCTGCCGCCGTTCTACATCCTCGTGTACGTCGACGACTTGGTCTTTGCCACAGCTGACACTGCTGGACTCGCCTATGTGAAGTCCGAGCTGCAGAAGAGACACACGTGCACAGACCTGGGTGAACTGCGCAGCTACCTTGGCTTGCAGATCACCCGGGACAGAGCACGCCGCACCATTACCCTGACTCAGTCACACATGGTGCAGCAGGTCCTTCAGCGCTTCGGCTTCACGTACTCCTCGCCTCAGGCCACTCCTCTGCCTACTCGCCACTCGCTCTCAGCTCTGCCTTCGGATGAGTCCGTAGAGTCGAGTGGCCCGTATCCAGAGCTTTTTGGCTGCCTCATGTACCTGATGACCTGCACACAACCTGACCTTGCATACCCTCTTAGCATTCTTGCACGCTATGTTGCTCCTGGGAGACACCGACCAGAGCACATGGCTGCAGCGAAGAGGGTGTTGCGCTACTTGTGCAGTACGTCGGGCATGGGGCTAGTGCTTGGAGGGCGGAGTCCAGTGGTCCTCACTGGGCACGCGGACGCTTCTTGGGCTGACGACCAGGCTACGCAGCGGTCGTCACAGGGTTACACCTTCAGCCTTGGCTCCGGCTCTGTTTCGTGGCGGGCTACTCGCTCGTCTTCTGTTCTCGGCTCCAGTTGTGAGGCTGAGATCTACGCTGGGGCCATGGCTGCACAGGAGCTTCGCTGGCTCACCTACCTGCTGACTGACCTCGGAGAGTCGCCTTGTTCTCCTCCAGTTCTGTACGTAGACAACAAGGCCATGCTGGCCTTGTGTCGAGAGCAGCGACTGGAGCACATAACAAAGCACATTGCTCTCCGCTACTTCCTTGCTCGTGAGCTACAGCAGCGTGGACAGTTGCAGCTTGCGTACGTGGCCTCTGAGGCCAACACTGCTGATGTCTTCACCAAGGCACTTCCGCCTTGTGATCATCAGCGCTTCTGCACTCAGCTGGGTCTTGTCCCTGTCTTGCCTCACTTGCTCACCTCTTGACCTTACTTGTACTGTTACATATACATATACCTGCTCTTGCTTGTCTAGCCTTATATATATATATGTACTCCTGCATGTGAAGTGGCCTTGTGGCCTTGAACTTGTGCTCGGAATGTGTGGTGACTTTGTGATCCACCCTGAGCTTTGCTTTGCTTTGCTTGACTGGTCTTGTGACCCCCTGTTCTCCCCCACTTTGCCTATGGGGGTGTGTCAGAACATTATAGCTTATGCTTTTGTGTAGGCTGTAGTGGGGTATCCCATAGGGGGTACAACCCAATTAGGGTTGGTACTTGTACCCACTTCATTCGTAGTTCATTCATTCTCGTTTCAGTTTTCTCACTATCTCCATAGGTTATGCCTTATCTCTCTCTCTCTCTCTCTCTCTCTCTCTCTCTCTCTCTCTCTCTCTCTCTCTCTCTCTCTCTCTCTCTCTCTCTCTCTCGGTTCTCCCTCCTCTCCGTTCCTTCTCTCTCTCTCCCGTTCTTTGTTTCTTATTGTTTCTTACCGTTGTTATTAGTATGTTGTTCATTCCGGTTCTTTCTTCTTCTCTCGTTCTCTCACTCTCGTTCTCTCCCTCTCTCTCTCTCTCTCTCTCACACACACACACACACACACTCTCTCTCTCTCTCCCTCTCTCTCTCTCTCTCTCTCTCTCTCTCTCTCTCTCTCTCTCTCTCATGGTCCTTGTATTGATATAGCAGCAAGGTACAAGCATGCAGTGTATGGATGTAACAAACAAACAAACAAAGCACCAATTCCTACTCACTATTCCCCTAGAGCTCCAAGATGGGCTCTACCACCGCAAAACAGTCCCCTAGGTGTAACTCTTGACCAAAACCCCCTACAGGCGGGTTCTCTGCTGCTGCCGCCTCGCCCAACTTGAGTAGAAGACCCACTGATTGGGCCCTTTGAAGGGCCACTAACCATCGCTGCCGAAACTGGTGCAGGAACTTGGCGGCATAAAAGGATTTAGAGTCGGCGTTAAAGTGGCGCCGAGCCGCCATGTCTGCAAGTAGCTTCAGGAAGGTTGGTACTTCCGTGCATGGGCAGCCATAGGTGTCGACTCCCAATGGGAAGAAGCCAACCGTCTCCGACCGGTTGGCGTAATGCTGGATTTTCTTATCCGCTTGTTCCCGTGCCGCCCATCCCCTGCCTTTCTGCGCCTCTGGGTCCCTCGTGCTGATGGGGTCCGTGATGGTGACATCACAGACATAAACCGCCCCATTGCTTCTATCCGTCATGGTAAAGTCGGCGGTTTGTTCCTCGATAGGGCAATGGGCGGCCGACTCGCCGTGGACAATGAAACCCGACTCTCTCTCTCTCTCTCTCTCTCTCTCTCTCTCTCTCTCTCTCTCTCTCTCTCTCTCTCTCTCTCTCTCTCTCTCTCTCTCTCAAGCAGTCATGTATTGACATGGTTCGCAAGGTACAAGCAAGGAGCTACCACTTGGTCTAAACGTGCAAGCAATCGTTGGTCTTCACCTCCCCTCAGTTGGACGCTCCTCTCCCAGCCCCTTGCCATTTTTTGCCTCTGCCCCGTTTTCCTCCTTGCATGGCGTAGCTGCTGCTCCCCTCTTCACCTCCCCTCAGCTGACGCGAACCACGACCACTAGTGCGAGCCGCACGGACAGGCGACGCAGGATGAGACGCAGGCTCACGACGCTCAGCAAGACCTCCAGTAGGACCAGTGTAGGGAGAAGGAGCAGGCAAAGGGGAGGCCGGCTGTAACTGTAACTGTGACGGGACAGGCTGTGGACACTCTAAGGGAGGAGGAGGACCAGTAGAAGGCGGAAGACCAAGAACCTGCTGCAGGAGTGGAACGAAGTACGGTCGAGGCCGCGCGGCGACGCCAGACGCAGCAGGGACAACACCAGTACCCCCAGCAGGAGCACCCGCTCCAACAGCACCTCCAGCAGCTCCAGAACCTCCAGCAACACCAGTAGTACCCCCAGCAGGACCGCCAGCAGTAGCTTCAGCGCCAACACCCTCAGCAGCACCAGGTCCAGTCGAACCCGCAGGCCCGGCAGCTCCAGTATTCCCAGTACGAGCACCTCCGGGACCCGCGACACCAGCACCCTCAGTAGCCGAAGAACCTCGAGCTCCAGCAGCACGGCTCCAGCGACGGGCAAACCACTCGCGCAGCTCCTGTGGAGAGAGTGGCTCCCGCAGAGACGAAGCACACGGAGAACCACCACGCGTAGCACCTCCAAGCTCAGTACCCCTAGGCTCAGCACTACCAGGCACAGCACCCCCAAGCGTAGCACCCCCAGGCTCAGTACCCCCAGGCGTAGCACCCCCAGGCTCAGCACCCCCAGGCTCAGCACCCCCAGGCTCAGCACCCCAAGGATCAGCACCCCCAGTCGCAACACCTCCAGGCTCAGCACCCCCAGTCTCAGCACCCCCAGGCTCAGCACCCCCACGCTCAGCACCCTCAGTAGCACCAGAGTCACCAGTAACCTCGACAAGCTCGACTGCGTCTACCTGGGACACACCTGAAGGGGCAGGACCCTGAGGGGGGAGGGGGTCTACCGGGGGGGGACCTGGTACAAGGAAGAGCGGGAGGGGGGGGGGGGAAAGAGGCGGTAGTAGGGGATCGACTCGTCAAACGTGACGTACTGGGAGGACAGAACACGGCGAGAGGTGGGGTGGTAGAACTGCCACCCTGGCGCGTCAGGGGGGAAGCCCAGGAAGACGCAAGGAGCAGCACGAGGGGACAGCTTGTCCGCAGACAAGTCGCGGACAAACTCCCGAGATCCCTAGACACGGAACGCAGACGCATCGCCAACCTTCCTCGTCCACAGCAAAGCTGGGGAGGTCTCCGGCATGGAGACCCTGGGCTGAAGGTTGATCTGATGTGCCGCGTACCGAACCGCAAACGGCCACAGAAAATGGGGGGCAGCCGCATGCATCATGGACATACGAGCGACGTCCATGACCATGCCAATACGGTGCTCAGCAATCCCATTTGGCAGTGGAGAGCCCGGAAGCGTGAAGGTCTGGCGAATGCCTCGTGCACGACAGTAGGCTCGCAGAAGGCCAGAGAACTCTCCGCCTCTGTCAGAGTGCAGACGCACAACAGGAAAGTCCGAGCCGCTGCCTGAGCTGGAGACGAGCTGCGCGGATCCAGGCGATCAACACCTCTGTGACATCACCCTTGCTGCGCAAGGGGAAGACTGTGGTGTAACGGGAGTAGTCGTCAACCACCAGCAGGAAGTAGCGCTCGTGACCCTGTCCACGGATGCGGGCTGGGCCCCACACGTCCATGTGAAGCGTCTGCAGCGGGGCCTCTGTCGGAGGAAACTGGGAGGAGTGAGGGGCAGCACGCTGCCGCCCCTCGACACAGGGGACGCAGGCAAGGGCAGGCCCCGGCGGAAGGGGAGGGAGGGACCGGGGAAGACCAGAGACAAGGAGACGGGACGCCATGCCTCGGAGACGAGGCAGGGAGGGGTGACCAAGGCGGTGGTGCCAAAGGAGAGTCTCGTGAGACTGGAGACGACACGAGCAGGGGGCAGACTCAGGGCCAGACCTGGACGCTGCAGCAAACACCTGACCCGACGCAGCTACCCGACCAGACGCAGGACTGGAGGAGACTCAGTGGTCAGGGTGTACATTCTCGACCCCGGCCGACGTGTAAACGTAGCCAAGTGTCGGCCCGTCCGAGCCTCCGTGCAGTGGGTCACCCTCTGGCTCGCAGGAGTGAACTGGTGAACTCCCCCATCCTGTAGGTCAGCACCACTCACCAAGTTCGTAGAGAACGAGAGGAGGTAAAGATCAGACAGGGTGCCAGAGGGAGCCGCCGGACACGGGAGGATAGTGGAGAAGTGAGCAAGGACAGGACCCCCAAAGGGGTCTGCCAGAGAGACTGCAACAGGCCGACCAAGCGGCGTGAGTGTGGTGCGGTCTCGAAAGAAGGAGCGAGAAGCCCCCGAGTCAAGTGTGAAGGTGAGGGAGGCCGAAGCCGACGCAGTACCTGAGAGAGCAGACTCACCAGCACCTGAGGAAGGAGACGCACTAGCACCTAGAACAGTAGCCTCGCTAGCACCAAGAGCAGCAGCCTCACCAGTACCTAGAGCAGTACTCGCAATGCCCGGGTCGGGCGGAAAACACCGGTAACAGTCACCCTCATCACTAATAGTCACAGCATACATGGAAGCAAGAATAGCATCAAAACCAAGGTCAAAGACAGCTATTCCCGCCCTAGACAGCTCGCCCCAGCGGGGGATCTCTGTGGCCTCCAGGAACTGGTGACGCCAAGCGTCCGTTAGGCGGTCAAAGCAGCGCTGGGTGGGGTGCGCACCCCCACACTGCTCACCCGCACGGTCGCCGGTGCGCAGGACGTAGGTGCACAGACCAGTACCCCTACCCCGCTGGCGTGCAGCGTACCACTCACGGAGCTGCTGAGGGGGGGGGATGTCACGAGCGCGCAGCTGCTGCTGCTGCTGGCACTGGCCACCACCGGAGCCGACCCTCTGCGTAGCGCCACCCCGACTAGCTCCACCTCCTCCGCCTCCGCCTCCTCCTCCGCCGCCACCTCCGCCACCTCCGCTCCCACCGCCACCGCCGCCTCCGCCTCCGCCTCCACTGCCGTCACCGACACCTCCACCCCTGCCACCACTCCCACCACCACCCCCACCCCCTCCTCCGGCTCCACCGCCACCTCCATCGCCCCCGCCAGCTCCTCCAGCACCCTTGCCCCCTTTTCCCTTGCCTGTGCGGCGCTTCCCCGAAGGGGGAGACGCAGCGCCGACCGACTCGAAACCAACGAGGTCGGCCGCAGCAGCAGAAGCAACAGAGGGCAAGAGGGGGGAGGGAGAACACCCCTCAAAGACGGGGGTGCGGGGGTCACCACGAGAGGCTCCTACAGCGACTATGCTCTTCTCTGCTACTAGGAGGGCCTTTTCGAGGAGGTCAACTGTGAGAGTGGTGGGGCAAACAGAGAGAAAGTGGTCCCTGACTACGCGGAGGGAGTCAGGGAGACGGGCGACTATGTAGTAGAGGGTGATGTACATGGGGGGGGGGTTCGTGGCGCAGAACTCAGCAGGAAGCGCAGCGCGGTAGCGAGTGTCACTGGTGCGGAGGTGCGTAATGAGGTCAGTGACTGTGGGAAAGGCAGCAAGGTCAGGGAAGAGGTACGGTAGCATGAGGCGGCTCAGTGCAGCAGTGGCAAGGGAGGAGTAGCGTGCAACTACAGCGTCGTACAAGGTCTGAGCACTCTTGTACTGGCTAAAGTGCGCACGCTTAGAGGTAGGCAGGTGGCGACGCACAGCAAGACGTGCAGCAGCAGCAGCAGGGGCAGGAGAGGCACCAGAGGTGAGGTCAAAGAGGGAGAGACCGTCTGCCCTATCGCACTGTAAGAAACGCTGCAGGTCATCTCTCTAGACGTCAAAGTCAATGGCCCGACCCTCAGCGTCTAAGGTGAGGACACTAGGGGTAGCCATGACAACAGTAGACTAGCAGCTCAAATAGTAGGGTAAGGACAGTGCAGTGGCAGAGGCGCTGCTCTTACCGGACAGGACAGCTCGGGCGGCTCGGCGGTGCGGGCGGCTCGGCTGCAGGGCGACTCGGCGGCTCGGCTGCTAGGCGGCTCGGCGGCTCGGCTGCTCGGCGGCTCGACAGCTCGGCTGCTCGGCTGCTGGGCGGCTCGGCGGCTCGGCTGTTGGGCGGCTCGGCGGCTCAGCGGCTCGGCTGCTGGGCGGCTCGGCGGCGGCGGCTCCTGACTCAGGGACGGCGGTGGGGCCGTGAGGAGGCCGCAGAAGGCGGCTCGAGGGGCCAGGTGGAGCGGCGGCGAGGTCAGGTGGAGCGGTGGCGGGGCCGGGTGAGGCCGCGTCGGGGCCAGGAAGGGCGGCGCCGTGGCCGCAGGGGTAGGCGACGGGGCCAGCCAAGGTGGCGCCGGGGCCGGGAAGGGCGGCGCCGGGGCCGCAGGAGTAGGCACCGCGGCCGGAAGGGCGGCGCCAGGGCCGCAGGAGTAGGCGCCGGGGCCGGGAAGGGCGGCGCCGGGGCTGCAGGAGTAGGCGTCTGGGCCGGTAGGGCGGCGCAAGGGGCCGCAAGGGCGGCGCACGGCGGGCCGACGGGCGGCTCGAAGGGCCGCAAGGGCGGCGTGCGGAGCCGACGGGTGGCGCAAGGGGCCGGTAGGGTGGCGCAAGGGGCCGCTAGGGCGGCGCGCTGGGTCGACGGGCGGCGCAAGGGGCCGCTAGGGCGGCGCGCGGGGTCGATGGGCGGCGCAAGGGGCCGCTAGGGCGGCGCGCGGGGTCGACGGACGGCACAAGGGGCCACTAAGGGCGGCGCGATGGTAGGGAGGGCACACGGGGCGCGCGCGACTCGGTCTAGGGTGAGGCGCGCTCCGGGCAAGAAAAAATAATCGTGGTGGGCCCTAGGTAGCGTTCCCACTAGGGAACCTGCTCTGAAACCATGTGAAGAAACGAGAATGAATGAACTATGAAACAGTTGGGTACAAGTACTAACCCTAATTGGGTTGTACCCCTTATGGGCTACCCCACTACAGCCTACACAAATGCATAAGCTATAATGTTCTCACAGACACTCCTCCTCCAGACACCAACCAGCCTGAGGTTGATCAGCCTGTTGTCGACAAGTCTGAGGTCAATCATCCTGTTCCTGAAAGGGGTCCTGCGAACAAGCAGATCACGTCAGATGAGATCAACACGGCTTTGAACAATGAGGCTGCAGCGGCAACCTTTGTCTCCACGTCAACATTACCTGCTCGAGTTGCCGGCAGCTCCGGTCTTTCCGTTGAAGATAAGATCCTGCCGAGTCAGCCTTTTACAATGGTGAAACAGCAGTTTCTAGAGGATGACTCTGATGAGGAGTTGGACATTGATATCGCAAAGGAAGATGCTTTTCGCCTTTGTTACACCGCGATCTTACTCATTTCGATGGTTTTGTCTTAGGAGATTAAAGCCATTATCGCTGCAGTACGTCTCCTCATGCAGAAAGTATGGTGCTCGTCTCTGACCCCGAATGCCGGTGTTTCGACGAACATTCAGGAGATGACTCCTGGTTTTGTGGCCAAGACGCGGTTCTGCCGGCTGCAGATATCCTTCCTTGACGAATGCGATGCTCACCACATCAAGTTCCATGTTTTTGAGTACCAGAAGACGAACAGTCCGTCGATCAAGTGTATCTGGCAGCACACAGAGGACACGTCTTACCTGAAGGAGAAGGCTGCTCATCCTCTCGCTATTGAAGTGCTTTTCAAACGTGTTCCTTCTAATGTGGTTCCAAATGTGCTGAAGGATTTGCTGGTCCATTTCAAGCTGAAGATGAGGAAGCAGTCAGCTTTCAAGGAAGGCTTCGCCTTCCACCACGTGGTTCACCCGCTCACCGGAGCAGATACCGATGTGATCAAAGGGATGGTGGTTCAGCACCCTGGTGACCGCTACCGCTGGCGTCATACAGTCGACAACCCAATGGAGCCTGGCGCGAAGCTGTTGGTTCACTACCCTGCATTGTCCTGCCTTCTCTGTGGAGGACAGCATTATGACATCCATCATGATCTGTTCGTCAATGAGCGGCAGAACAATATAGGGAAGCGGAACTTAACCCTGGGGAAAATCCATCGTATCAATGGTAACTGCGGCGTTTTAATCCCTGTACTCCCCTCTTACCCTCGTCGCCTTACACTGACGCACCTGTTTGCTTTCGCAGCTGCCTCCCTGAGTACCTCCGCCTTAATTACTCCCATCCTCAAAGACCCCGCCATCGCACTTGTCTCCACCGGCAGCAACCGCGAGGAATGGATCTGCACGCAAGTGTGCTGCGGGAAGACGAAGGAGAAAACATTCATGGCTGCTGCGGAACACATTGTCTCCGCGTCCCATCTGCTGAACCTGGAGAAGCTGGGAACTGCAACCAAAGCCTCGCTGGACAAGCTGAACCTTGCTCATCTGAAGAAAGACTATGGACTTTGAGGCTTCAAAGCGAGAACCGCGTGCTGTTAGCGATTGTTGGTTGGAGTGCCGTTGTTAGTGTAGTGACCCTTACCAGCTTGTGGATGAACAGGGGCTGCCATCCGGTGATTAAATGAGTAACATGAATTTCCTCTCCTTAGCGGGCCTGAACGTCAATGGCCTCGGTGACAGAACAAAGCAAGACAGAGTAACCACATGGACACGCACTGTGAGGATCTAGGATCGAGCTCAGAAAAGAGAATGTGAATTGAATTGAATCGAATGATCACCTGGGTACAACACGAGGCTGTATATAGGCTCGACACAAGGCCCCGTAACCAGGTGTTACGCGAAAGTTTCGCGGGTCGCGAAGCGTCCCGAACAGATCCTTCCCGAATTCGGTAGAAGGCAATTCGGTGGCAACCGAAAAGCCAGAATTCGATTCACGTAACATAGCTCGGTGCTATAACTATAATAAAATATAGGAAAGCACCTAGCCTAGGAAATCAAGCAATTCATGCATGCATATAATTATCCTATGCTAGAAATAGCATGATAAAGTAAAGGCAATCAAGCATAGCTGGCATAAGCCGTCGTACTCTCACACGCACAGCTGCTGACATCCTTATCCTTTCTGACACCAGACTCCCAGACGATCACTCATACTGGAAATCACCTGCCTTCTATTCAATTCTCACTACCCCAAACGTAGACAAAGCCGGTGGATTTGCATTCCTCACTAGAGATCCAGCCATTCTCTTCCGTAACATTACCACTCACCCTTCAGGAAGGCTGATAGTTGTCACCGTCAGCCGCTCTGGCTTCAATTTATCCCTTATCGCCGCATATTTCCCTGCTGACGCAACTGATAGATGCTCGTTCTTAGCCAACGTTGTAGGTCCCGCTTTTGATCAGATCCCTCCTACCGCGCATGTAGTCTTTATCAGAGACCTGAACACAGTGGAAGATCCCACATTAGATAGAACCTCACAATCCGGCACGTCGCTTAAGAATGACAGGCTTATCTCGCGCTGTAGCCGTTTCCAGCTGTCTGAAGCTTTCCGTACCCTTCATCCCAAGCTCCGCGAATACACCTTCTACGCCGCCTCGAAACAGTCCAGCTCTCGCATAGACCGCGCGCTTGTTTCCTGCTCGTTGTTGCCACACCTAGAAATAGCTGCACACATACGTCCGGAAGAATACATCTCAGACCATGGCTTCGGAATCAAAATTGCCTTTGAGCTTAAAGCCTCCACTCACCTGGGCCCTGGCATTTGGAGGTTGCACGCTGCTGCGATAGGAAGGCCCGACATCCGGAAGGCTGTTAAAGCTGCGCTTTCCAAGGCGGCAGAAGAGGGAGATGGGGATTTTGAACTGCTGCTGGGGAGGCTGAACGCAGGGCTACGCTCGTACATGAAGGAGGAGAATAAGCGGATGAGGAGGACCACATTGCATCTGGCAGAGGTGGTAGCGGAGTTGCATCAGGAGCAGATGTGGAACCCTGCATGTCAAAGGACAAGGGACCTGCTGTTCGTCAAGGAAACGCAACTACGGGAATACCATGCTTTAAGGAGAGACATATTGCATGTGATGACGGGCACGAACAAGGAGCTGGCGGGGGAGGTCCCCTCGCCTGTTTTCTCGGCACGAATCAAATTAAGGAAGCAGAAAATGCAGATCGCGGAACTGGTTGTCGACGGGAACAAGAATTCTGACTCACCTGGCATTCTCAAAGCGGCGACAAAATACTTCACTGATATTTTTGGCGAGGACGGGCGAACGTCATTGGTGAGATGGAAACCGCTTCCCGGCAAGCGGCTGGACGCGGAAGCGGTGGCTGGGCTAGACACAGATTGGACGGAAGCAGGGGTGACGCAGGCGTTTAAGGCGCTTGCGAATGGCAAGTCCCTTGGTAACGACGGTCTTCCGAAGGAGCTGTTTGAACGAAACTGGGACGTCCTGGGGAAGGAGTTTCTCCGGATGGCGCAGTCCTTTGCTGATACTGCGTCTCTACCTGTAAGCATAAAGGAGGCAGTGACCATTCTGCTTCATAAATAAGGGGGAAAGGACAAGCTGGATAACTACCGCCCGATTACCCTTCTCAACTTTACCTACAAAGTGTTGGCGCGTATGGTAGCAAACTGGATGAAGCCTATACTACATAAGGTGATCTCGGAGGAGCAGTATGGCTTTATACCTGGCAGGCGTATCTCGGACGCGATCGGGGTGGTTGCCGACGTGATTGAGGCGGCAAAGAAAGGAAATGAGGATTGGTACATACTGCTGGTGGACTTCCGCAAGGCGTTTGACTCAGTTTCCGGGAGCTTCCTCTTTACGGTCCTCCGTGAAATGGGTTTCCCGGAGAGGTTTGTCGGTTGGGTGGAAGGCCTGCACAAAGACACGAAAACGAGGCTTCTGATTAACGGCTGGTTGGGCGAGGCTGTGGACGTTAAATTAGGGGTGCGGCAAGGCTGTCCTCTGGCCCCTTACCCTTTTCTTTGTGCGGTGGAACCCCTGGCCTAGGAAGCAGTTCGGCGGAAGCTGTGTCTCTGCAACAAGGCAAATCAGCGGTTAGTGTACGTCGGATATGCGGACGACACGACACTATTTCTGGAAGGGAAAAGGCAGATCGCAAGAGCTTAAAAGCTCCTGGATTTGTTCGCGAATCTTTCGGGGCTTAAGACGAACAAAGACAAATCGGTCGTCCTCCCGATCGGTCACAGTCTTGGGCGGAGGTCGGGAACGCTTGGTGGATTTAAATGGGCGAAGGCGGATGAAGCAGAACGCGTCTTGGGTGTGTGGATTACCCCGTCCGGTAACAGCGAGCTGACCTGGATGAGGGCTTTCAAAAAAATTACGATGGAACTGATTAAGTGGAAGGCCCTTTTTCTCACAATCGCGGCCAGGGTGGTCATCATCAACTGCTACATCACCCCGAAGATAGCGTATCAGGCGCAGGTCTACCCACCGACCGAGGACATCTCGAAAAAACTCATGAAGCTGGTGCAAATTTTTCTGACTGGGAACAACGCATCGGCAAAAAAGGGTTTGGTTTTGTAGAACTGGGGTCTCCTCACCACGCCAAAGGCCGACGGAGGGTTGGGCGTGCTGGACCCCGAGATACTGCTGCGCGAAGGATCGGTGGGCTGCTGCTGGAGGGAAATGGGAAGAAGAAAGAGATAATGCTCACAGCAGCCGGTCTTCCTCTCGGGGACACTTTTCTCGTGCATAAGAGGCTGCTGAAACACTGGCCAGGGGATGGCGAGCGGTGGAGACGGGCGTGCGAAACATTCATGAAATCGCCTATTGCTGACACGGGGACCTCCAGCAGCAGAGCAGAGGTGGCACAGGAAAGAGTCGTTTTCAATCGGAAGCTACTCATGAACAGGACAAACCCGGTCGGAAGGCAAAAGGAGGCAAAAGGCCTGTGGGAAACACGGCTAGGGGATCTAGTTGCTACCACGCGTGACGGTGGTGCTGAGATTAAGGATATTGACACATTGGAGAAGGAATTGCGTAGCAGGGACTCAAGGCCTCAAGGCCTTTGAAGCAGCGCCGCAGGAGTGAAAAACCCTCTTAGTCCCAGGCAAGGGGAGGGAGGAAGAAGATGGGGAGGTGCCCCCCCCTACTGACGTGCCTACTGTGGGGGTACATGCAGCTGCGACAATCTTCCGCTCGACAGTTTTTTCGGATGGGCAGTTGGCCTCCTTGAAGCAGTTGAGGGAGACCTGGGCCAAGCCTGAGGCAGTCTTGGTGAAGCAGGCCAAGTGGTCCGGCAGGTGGAGCGGGAAGATAAATTGGAGTCGCATCATCCGCACCCTTAACTCGCTGACTATCCCGAGCCGACCGCGGGATGTTCTCACACGGATTCACAACCTAAACTTGCAAGTTGGGGAGAGTGGATTTTCTCAGCAGCGACCCCAAATGCCCGTACTGCGGGGAGACGGAAACCCATGACCACTGCCTTTTCACATGCCCTGTAATTCAACCTGTGGTGTCTGGGCTGCCCCGTGCTCTGCACATGCTAAACCCCGAGAGAGCCCCTGCCTCGCTGGGAGATCTACTATTCAAGGAAACCGGAACTGTATCGGACTTTCTTGATGCCACACTAACCGCCATCACCTTCCACCAACTTTGGGTGGAGCGTTGTGATGCAAGCTTTCGTGGACAGAAGTTCAGGGCACAACGGGTGCTCAGGAGGATTGGTGCAGCTTTCAGGCTGCATGCGAGGGTGCACACGAGGGTGACGGGGGCAAAATGTTTGAAGTCGGGCAGCTTGGGGACGCATTCGAGGGTCAGAGGAGTGTTTGAAGCTGAACAAAAGATGCTGTCAAGAATCAGGGAGGCAGGAGACAAAAAGTGGACGTGGAAAGCCAATTCTGCAGCGATCTGGAACAGGCCAAGGACGGCTCACCTACCGCCCTAGTCACCCAACTGGGCAGCGCAAGGTGTCTGCCCTCACGCTCAGTTACGACTGCTATTGTTGTATGCATTGCCTTTTGATGTATACCTCAATTACAAAAAAAAAAAAAAAAAAAAAAAAAAAAATTGCTAAGTCATTCTTGACTCCTCTCTCTACAAACTTGGACCCGAGGATAGGGGCTGGTCTTGTACCACCCAAGGACCCTTGGAGGTGACCCCGAATAGAGGTTTTATGTTTGATAAAGTCTTATTAGCTTGTCTTTATTAGGCTCTTACACCAACAAGCTGGTATAAGAGCTGCGTTATAGTGATCCTCGTTATAGGTAGCTATGGCGGGCAACACCTCGACGGGAGCTGGTGAATCTTCAGCCCAAGTAGCGGCAGCCAAGATTCTGGTGTTTCAGCGCCAAGGGGAGCACGAACAAACCAGGGCCCGCTGGTCAAGGAGGTGCTGAAGAACTTCACGGTCGAGAAGTTCAATGATGAGGGCTATGATGATTGTGCCTGGAAAATGCAACTCTATTTCCGTCAGATTGGATTGCTCAAACTAATAATTTGGGAGGAGCCTAGACCGAGTGACCCCACGCTGCAGGAAGATT